TTTTGTTATTTTTAGTAGAGACGAGGTTTCACCTTGTTGACCAGGATGGTCTTGATCTCTTGACCTCGTGATCCACCCGCCTCGGCCTCCCAAAGTGCTGGGATTATAGGCGTGAGCCACCGCGCCCGGCCATATTATTTTTTTTTAAGACAGCCTTACTCTGCCGCCTAGACTGGAGTACAGTGGCATGATCTTGGCTAACTGCAACCTCTGCCTCCCAGGTTCAAGCGATTCTTCTGACTCATACTCCCTAGTAGCTGGGATTACAGGTATGCGCCACCACGCTTGGCTAATTTTTTTGTATTTTTAGTAGAGATGGGGTTTTGTCATGTTGGTCAGGCTGGTCTCAAACTCCTGACCTTAGGTGATTCACCCACCCGCCTCAGCCTCCCAAAGTGGTGGGATTACAAGCATGAACCACCATGCCTGGCCGGATCCCATATATAGTAAGTCATCTCCAGATTACTTCTAGATTAATAGAGGCCAGACAGTAGTCCCAGCTACTTGGGAGGCTGAGGCAAGAAAATTGCTTAAGTCTAGGAGTTTGAGGCTGCAGTGAACTGTGATCACACCACTGCCCTCCAGCCTGGGTGACAGAATGAAGCCCTGTCTTAAGGGGGGGAAAAAAAAACTAATACAGTAATTGTCACACTGCTTTTAATTGTGTGGATTTTTTTCCTGTGAATATTTTTGATCCGCCATTGGTTGAGTCTGTGGCTATGGAGGGCTGGCTGTATCTGGACCTGATCTCAGGGCAGGAGGGGGCTAGGAACAAGCGGTGTGCAAGAACCATTTCTGAGCAGGGAGCAGGAGGCCAGGAGAAGCCTACCACCCCACACAAAACACTGCTGCCTGGCACTTGGAAACTGTGGAAGAATCCCCAAATTCCCCCACTTGATCTTTAGAACTAGAGGAAAGAAGTCACTTGAGCAGACTCTGACCAATTTGCGTGTCTCTGGGTCCCAGGGATAAATCAGACTCTGCTCCAGAGCCAGGCAGAAGCATGTGATGGCTGAACTCTGGGTACTTCTTGCATCATGGATCACAATGGCAGGACAGGGCAGTGCCTCCAGAACTATGTGACATGGAGCCATTGAGTACCCTCTGGCATCTCAGTTTCACTCCCTGTAAAGGAGAATAGCACTTGACACACTCATTGAGTCCGCACAGTAACCTCCTGGCCCTAAGGTGAGGTGCAGGGGAGACACAGAAAAGCCCTTGGCATGGGGCCTGGCTGATGTGTGCTCCAGTTAGTGGAACCGTGCAAGTGTTTCTGGGGAGGTGGGAACTTTCCTTGCAGGCAAGGAGGCTGGCTGGGATGGAACAGGGACTTGCCCAAGCCAGTCTAGGAACAAGAACCCCCGTGTCCACAGAGGGGCTGGTACACATTCCAAGATGGGGGCATCCACTGCACAGTGTCTGCCCTGTCCTTGTTATCCTGAGCTCTCTCTCTCCAGACTGGTTGCCCAGAGAGTGGCCCCTGCTTCTCTGGGGCCCATGGAGATGGTCACAGGTAGGCTGTGACCTACCTGTACATACCTTAGGTTCAATTCAACAGCAGTGCTGCTGGGACAGTAACCACTAAAGAAGTTGGCCCTGCAGAGGTGGGAGTGCCCACCCAGGGTGCAGGGCTGTTTGGGGTTGGGGACACAGAGAGGGAGCTGTCAGTTTCCGGGTGTTAGTGTGTGTTTTCAGTTTCCCTTCTTACAAAACGGTGAGAATTGGCTGTTGACACATGGAATTGTTTACATGAGACCTTGATCAAGACCCTAAATCGCCCTCTCACACTATCCCCAGCTTCCACAGCGCGACACCTATACCTCCGGGGTGGCGCTGGGGTTGGCTCCATGACCAAGATCTATGGGGGACGTCAGAGAAATGGCGTCATGCCTAGCCACTTCAGCCGAGGCTCCAAGAGCGTGGCCCGCCGGGTCCTCCAAGCCCTGGAGGGGCTGAAAATGGTGGAAAAGGACCAAGATGGGTAAGCAGGGTGGGCAGGGCTGGACTGATGGAGCAGCCTTGGGGCCGGGCCATCAGTGCCCACAACTCATTTCCACAACAAATGGTCCTGCGTAGTCTGCCCAGCCCCTCCGGCCTCTCCCCAGAGGCAGGCAAGAGGGGATTCTGCAGAAAAGCGAACAGCAAGGGACCTCACCCTGACCTCTCTGGCTGACTAGCCCAGGCTCCAGGAAGGTAATTTAGCGACTGTCCGCTTTCATTAGCCTGCTCGTTAACTTTTCCCAATTGATTTTTCGGGGCTTTTGATCTAATGCTTGCACAAACGATACCCCATCAGCTCCCAGGCAGGCTCCCACTACTGCCCCCAGCTCGTTAGAATGCACCTGACTAGGGCCCTCACTGAGACTTGGCTAGCGGCAGGTGGTCCCACAGCCAAGTGCCTTCTTGAGAAGCCTAGCTCAAAACCAGAAAGGGCTGAGAACATGACCTGTGGTCACTGGGGCCTGCATGACCATTCCCTCCCCACAGGGGCCGCAAACTGACACCTCAGGGACAGAGAGATCTGGACAGAATCGCCGGACAGGTGAGGCCTGCATTGGGGCAGGGCCAGAATTATTTCCTCCTGGAGGGCACAGCCCACGGTGGTGGTGGGGTCAGGAGGACTGCCCAGGGACAGGAAAAAGGGCAGTTCTGATTGACTTTTCCTGTTGGTGCTGCTTAGAAATTTGGAGGAAACTCCAGCCCAGGTGCCACTGAGCATCTGTGGAGCACATAGCTGCATCCGCAGATGACCCCCTCTTCCCAGGTCAGCCTGCAGTGTTCCCTGAAGTCCTCATGCTTACTGAGCATCACATCCGTTGCTTGGGAGAGGTGGAGATAAGGGCCAGGGCTGGTTCAGGACCCAGGCCTCCATTCAGATCCTGGCTGGCTGACACCTGGGGCAGAATGGCCACACCTTTGGTGCCACAGTCTCCCTGTCCTGGCCTCCCTGTGGCCAGAATCTACCCTTGGCCATGTCAAGCATGGTAGTGAGGAGTACAGCAGGAGCTCCTAGGGCCTGGCGTGAACTCAGTTCTGTAGCATTGACTCAGGCCTCCTAGGAGCCTTGGAGTATTTAGTCACTTAGTCAAGTGTCACAAAAGAGTGGAAGGTGTTAACCTTCTAGGAGTTGGGGTTGCCAGGAAGGAGAAAGCTCTTCCAGGCAGAGGGGCTTGGCAGGCACATCATTGCTGGTGATTGGATGTTGCTTTCTCACATGGCAGTGGGACTCCACTCCACCACTCCCTTCTAATACGTCTGTGAAATGGGGAAATACCCAGTGAGAATTAGATGAGATGGATGCATTTCATTTAAGACCACACATCGGGTGCCTACCTCTAGTGGGTAGGAGGTAGCTGTTACAAAGTGCCCCAGCAGAGGCCCCCTTGACTGACCTTACTCTTCCATCTTTTCCCACAGGTGGCAGCTGCCAACAAGAAGCATTAGAACAAATCATGCTGGGTTAATAAATTGCCTCATTCGTAATCCTCGTCTGGGTCTCTTTAGAGTCTACTCTGTCACCCAGGCTGGAGTGCAGTGGTACCATCTCAGCTCACTGCAACCTCTGCCTTCCGGGTTCAAGCGATTTTCCTGCCTCAGCCTTCCAAAGTGCTGGTGTGAGCCACTGCGCCTGGTCTGGTCTGGGTCTCTTGGTTGGTTGCTCTTTGGGGGCATGAAGAAGTGTTTCCTCCCTTCCCTTGAGTGAGGGTGCCTAGGTGGCTGTGTACCTGGCAGCCAGTAGGGCCTCCCCAGTCAAACAGTTCCTATCTGGGTTTGGAGGAAGGACCTAGGGGCCCTCATGGCTGACTCCCCCACATCCTGTCTTTGCAATTCTCAGAAAGTAAGAAAGGACGGCTGTGTGAACTGTAGAGGGGCAGTAAGCTGTGCGCTTAGCTGGACATGGGCTGCAGAGGTGGCTTCTGCTGGAGGAAAGCAAGAGGGTCCACGGCTCATGCTTCTCCCTGGAAGGTGGAGCACAGACAGGCCACCAGGGAGCCTCCACCGCAAAGTTGCCTGTGCTGCCTGCACGTTCTGGATGGTCCTTGAGCCTTCGCTCTGCATCTGAGTGGCAGTGGGCCTCCTGAGTGTGGCAGTGGGCCTCCTGAGTGTGGCAGTGGCAGGAAGCCGGTGGAAGCGGAGCCTGCTAGGCGCCTGTGCAGAAGTGCAGCTCCCAGGGTGGCCACACGGGGGCTGCATGGCCTCAGCAGTCCTCCACAGTGACTGGCTTACACAGCAAAGTGCGATGGGGTCTCCACCATGGTTGGGCACCTGATCAGGGCAGGAGATCCCAACACCACCCAGTGGGCAAGACAGGAAAGAAGCTCTTGGGACCTGCTGTGACCTGATGTTGCACCCAGTTGGGAAGATTAAACTGGTTTGGCCAATATCTCCCAGGATTCCCCTGTCCAAGTTATTCCTGGGATCTGACCCATTTCCTGGAAAGGGCCAAGCCTGGGTTTTGAAGTTTAAACTACTTGAGTTTAAATCCCAACTCTTCCTAATCCTGTGTGACCATGTTCACCTTCCTCCCCTGAGCCTTCACCACCTCCTGCTAACTCCCCATTGGGCAACATGCCATGAAGAGCCTTGGCTCTGAGTGGCTCTGCTGGTGGACAGCCAGTTGGCAGTCCCCAAATCTAAGTCATAAGTGTTGAAAATAGGAAGTATCAAAGCCATCGGGTCCTACACCAGGGGAGAATGAAGCTGCCGCCCTTCCCAGCTTGATGATTGTCAGTGCTGAAGGATTTGTATTTAAAACACGCTTAGAACCTACTGTGTGCCAGCACTGTACTGTGCCAGGCACTTTCCAAATGCATCATTGTGGCCAGGCACAGTGGCTCGCACCTGTAATCCCAGCACTTTGGGACGCTAAGGTGAATCACTTGAGGTAAGGAGTTCCAAGAACAGCCTGGCCAACATGGTGAAACCCCGTCCCTACTAAAAATATGAAAAATTAGCTAGGTGTGGTGCTGGGTCCCGGTAATCCCAGCTACTCAGGAGACTGAGGCAGGAGAATTGCTTGAACCCAGGAGTTGGAGGTTGCCAGTGAGCTAAGATTGCACCATTACACTCCAGCCTGGGCAACGAGTGAAACTCCATCTCAAAAATTAAAAAGTAGCCAAGCATGGTGGCACATGCCTATATTCCCAGCTACAGGAGAATCTCTTGAATCCAGGAGGTGGAAGTTTCAGTGAGCTGAGATCACACCATTGCACTGCAGCCTGAGCAGAGCCAGAGTCCATTTCAAAAAAAGAAACAATAAATTAAAAGCATCATTGTTCACACTCAGCAACCCTGTGAAGTAGGTGCCAAAAAGCATTTTGGAAGTAGGGAAAGTAAGCCATAGGTTGGGTAACTTGCCCGATGTCCCCCAGCTACAGCCATCATTTGAACCCAAGCCACCTGGCTGCGGGCCAGTCACTCACCATTCTGGGCCCTAGTTTCCTCTTTTGACCATTAAGGATAAAACATTTCCCAGAGCTGACATGAGAAAATGCCAAGCGTCTGGTTTGCACAGCAGCAGGTAGGTGGGAAAGTGGAAGTGTCGGAGTGGGTCTGCAGTCCCGCCGCCGTGCCGCTCCAGCCACTGGGGGGCAGTAGAGGCCCTAGAAACAGGCTCCTCCACGGAAGGTGAAGTCAGGGCTTCCAGGTCTGGAGCCAAGCTTATTCCTGGGAGGGGGTCTTAAGGAGGAATTGAAGCACAGAGGGTCTATTGACCCCAACAGAACACCTGGGATTCTGGTCCCCAGAGCTAGAGAACTGTTCCAGATACTGTGCCAAGTGCACTGCAGAATATTCTTTTTTTTTTTTTTTTTTTTTTTAAAGACAGGGTTTCACCATGTCGGCCAGGCTGGTCTTGAACTCCTGACCTCAGGTGATCTGCCCGCCTCAGCCTCCCAAAGTGCTGAGATTACAGGCGTGAGCCACCACACCGGCCAGAATATTCTTACAGTCTTGCAAGTGGGGAGTTTGTACCCATGTTATATGAGAAGAAGCAAGTTCGGATGACCAGTCAGTTGACAAAACTGAGATGTAAAAGAATCCTGGACTCTTGAGGCCCAGTCTCTTCTGCGTGGGTGGCAATTGCACTTTTTAAAAAGTTTGCACTGTGGGAGGTGGAGGACCACTTGATGTCAAGAGTTTGAGACCTTGACTGGGTGAGGTGGCTTGTTCCTGTAATCCCAGCACTTTGGGAGGCCAAGGTGGGTGGATCGCCTGAGGTCAGGAGTTTGAGACCAGCCTGATCAACATGGTGAAACCCCATCTCTGTACTAAAAATACAAAAATTAGCCGGGCGTGGTGGCATATACCTGTAATCCCAGCTACCTGGGAGGCTGAAGCAGAAGAACCGCTTAAATGCAGGAGGCAGAGGTCACGGTGAGCAGATACTGCACCACTGCATTCCAGCCTGGGCAACAAGAGTGAAACTGTCTCAAAAAAAAAATTTAAAGACCAGCCTGGCCAACATGGTGAAACCCTGTCTATTAAAAATACAACAAAGGCCAGGCGTGGTGGCTCACACCTGTAATCCCAGTACTTTGGGAGGCCAAGGTGGGCAGATCATCTGAGGTCGGGAGTTCGAGACCAGCCTGACCAACATGTAGAAACCCCATCTCTACCAAAAATACAAAATGCCAGGCGTGGTGGTACATGCCTGTAATCCCAGCTATTCGGGAGGCTAAAGCAGAAGAATCACAAATCTGGGAGGCGGAGGTTGTGGTGAGCCAAGATTGTGCCATTGCACTTCAGCCTGGATAACAAGAGTAAAACTCCATCTCAAAAATAATAATAAATACCAAAAACAACCCTATTCACATGAAACTCATGCAATTTCCA